AGTAACTTGCTAGTAAAAGCATAGCCGGAGCCGAACATTAAATACCTGGCGGTAGTATTAAATATAGTTTTTTCACCTTTCCGAAAACTACCGCTTCACGGTAAGCACGGGTGGTTTTACCTTACCCCTATTTCAAACACCTTCGATAGAAAGTTAAGTTAGGCCAAACGAGATAAACTTATGTATATAGTTATACGTGGGCGGTACCATACTCATTTTCCAAAATTCCATAATAATGTTACTTCTTTTCAAGGGATTGTTGTTAGTATAAATTTTGACTAAATTAGCGTCCTTAAATTTCGAAATATCGAGATATCAAGCATTTCAGAAATTTACCGTTATATTAAAAGTGGGCGTAATTTTAGTCCATTTCCAATTATTTCCAACGTTTTGCTACATATTGGTCGAACGGTTACCGAGATACACATACATATGTGGTCATAAGTGGGCGGTGCTGCGCCCATTTTCCGAAATTTGATTATAAGCGTATTTTTTGGTAAAGAATTATTGCACACAGCAATTTTGAATAAATTAGCTTCCGTATATACTGATTTGTCGAAGATTTCGTATTTCTCTAAATTACCGTTATATGGGATGTGGGCGTGGTTATTGTCCGGTTTTAAAAATTTTCAGCAGTTTGGTAGGTTGTACCAAGGCCAACAACTGTGCAAAGTTTGGAAGAAATTAGTACAGCGGTTACCAAGATATACGCATGTAGCCATAAGTGGCCATGGCCACGCTCATTTTCCAAAAATTTATAATATTATTTTTCGTCTAAAAATTATTGCAAATAATGTCTATATCTATCTCGATTCGTTTTGCCTGTTACAAACAACCGTTGTGTGAACAAAGTGCTCGGGTAAAAAAATTCTGGGCACTCAGAAAATTGTTTGAAGGGGTTGCCTTGTGAAATGAGCTTTTAAAAGTTTAAGTTTTCAGTATGACAAAAAAAAAACAATTGAGTCGTAGCATTATTAAGACACCTCAAAGTTACATACCGAATCGGCAAAATCGTGTAGGCCATTGTAGGCATATACAATGGTGTAGGTATCATGCGCAGAAATTTCATGGTTGGTTCGTTTCCATTTTTTTTGTCTTGAAAAACAATTTTTGCTTTTGAATGTCTTTTTAGTAAAGTTTGTTAAGCGCAAATTCCTGATTTTTCATTTGTGTTTTAATTCATTGTTACCAAATGTGAGCTCACTCGCCAAAATGCGTTGCGTTTTCCTTTTTTTTGATAACCATTTTCATGAATTTTTATACATACTTATTTTATAAGTATTGTAAATACATATGTGTATATGTGCAGGTACATATGTGCGTGTTCCTCTGTATGTTGGCTCTTTTAAAAATCTAGTTGCTGCTTAGTTATTTGCTGGCCACCAAATAAATGCTGTAGCAGCACTATTAAGTATTTCTTATTATAATACGAACAATTTGCCACAGTCAGACATTCAACAGTTAAATGTAGTTTCTGAACAAAAAAAAAAAAATATGAATTTAATTTCTTTAGACGCTAATTACTATGATACATGCATACAATTTTAACGGTATTTTTGCATTTATTTCTTCCTTTTACTGCCTTCTCTCCCACATTTGCTGCATACAATTTCGAAGTTTGTGAGTATAAATATACGAATACATACATATATTTTTTAATATGAAAATCTAAGATACACCCATACATATTCAATACCAATACAAATTTGAGTTATTTGTGTATATTTTTTTTTTGCTTAATTAAATCGATATTCAGCTTATGATAGAGTTTTCGAGGAGGTTGTCTTTCAAGGAGGTACATATATATATATGTGAAGAAGGGTTTTTCAAGTATGCATGATTGTACGAACCATTTAAGCTCAAACATTTTCCATATTTTATCTACTTATTTACTATGCTCACTGATTTGTATATCATTTTAGCACTAAGCTAGGCAAACATGTTGATACGCTGCCTTATTCAAACCTTCAACATTCAAATTCATAAAGTTGTTGCACAAAATATTAAACTTACTTTCAAAATATTTAAGATATCTTAGTATGTATATCGGACATTTTTTAAGACCATTAAACCAAAATTATATTCACGCTTAATAATTAGGGATATTCATTTAATTTGATTAACTGCAGATAAACGCGATAAAATTATAATTTCCCTAAAGATTTATAATTTTATAATGCCATACAAATTTTTAATTTTATAACTTTTATCGGTAGTTTGTGACGTTAGATGAATATTGCTCACTTTATAATATACATAAATCAAATAATTCGTTTTAAAATTTCTCTTCAACTTGCAAACACCTCATAAATTAGATAATACTTCGAAACTGTCGGAGCCTGCATCTCCAGTTGCATCTGTTGCATCCGCAGATATTGCTGCCGAGTTTGCTGCGCTCACTGTTGAAGAGCAGGAAAGACAACGTGCCGAATGGAGTCAAGTAAGCTGCTACATATAATTAATAGCTCAATTCAAGTATAATCATTCTAAAATATTGCCTTGTAGGAGCTTGCACGTGTCGAAGAGGAGATAAATACGCTGCGTACAGTATTGGCATCGAAAACACGACATTCTTCAGAGTTGAAACGCAAATTGGGCATTACCATGTGGAAAGAGATTACAGACGATATGAATCAAGGCCTGAAAAATGTCAAAGAGAGTTCTGTGTAAGTTTGATGTAAATTTGTTAATCATAAAGTTGGTGACTATATGTACAGGGTGCTTGCTGTAGCGACAATTGTTGGATGGTAACATATTCAACTCAACTTCGCTGATAATTTAAAATTTTTCATTACTGTTATCTACCATGTGAACTTTTGGTGAATCGTTTCTATTCAACAGTGGCTGTCCTGCTCGTTTTTTCGCAAATTTTTTTACATCAGTATTAGGAGCGTTCCTTATCTCCCAGAAATAGTCAGAAAAAGTCCGAAGTAGTCAGATTTAGTCCAAAAAGCGTTCCTTAACTCGGAAATGACAGCAAAAATGAGAGAGCAACACTGGGTGAGAGTGACCTCTTCAGTCCGAAGTAATCAGATTTAGTCAGAAGAATTTTTTCTGGCAAAATCCCGAAAAGTGTCAAACTCAACTGAATTTAAATTAACGGAAATTAAAGAATACGCAAAAAGTGAGAATAATCTAAAAAGTAAAAAAAGTGAATTGAAATTGGAAGGAGGCAAAAAATAATTGATATAGTAAGTGTTTATTGTGCTTGTGCTTGGTGAATGTGTTTTGCACATACATTTCCATTCTTATTTGACGTTAGCTTTGTTGTTGCCATTCTTTGGACTAAAAATTTGGTTTTTTGCGTTCCTTTACTTTTCGTGTTATTCTCTTTTAGTGAGCGCATTTTGCTTACGCTCTGGCATTTTGACACTTTTCAGATTTTAGTCCAAAAAGATAAGGAATTTATCTTCAAAGCTCAGATAATGTTTTTGTTTGTTTAGTAGTACATCGCTGTTATTGACGTTATCGGGAATTGGAAGGCTATGGCCATATGACGACCGCCGTTATCTTACCTATAGGTTCAACAAGACAATTCCAAAGCAAAAAGGACTTTAATACAAGGTAGATTTTCCAAGTTATGGCCGGGATTTCGTCCTATAGGAGCCATAAAGTGGTAAAAAGTACAATACCAATGGAAAAGTCGTTAGACAAAATCTTCATCTTCTAATAATTATCTGTAACATTTATTTGTTTTTCGTCTCGCCGGACTGTTATTTACCATGGAATTATTTTCGTCTTCTCATAATAACTATCGGGGACTTTGATTTTTGCCGTCTCGCGGGACGTTTGCTTCAAGACGGAAATGATTTCAACACAATATTCACCAAAACAAAAGACGACATAAACACCCCACATCACGACACGTCTCCCGAACCACATGAAGCTCCTTCAATTTAACTGTAACGGGCTACAGAGCAAGATTGAGGAGATAACCGTCGTCATGTGTCGGCATGGTATATTAATAGCTGCGGTCCAAGAGACGAAGTTGCACAGCAATTCAACTTTGTTGAATTGCGCCGGGTACAACGTGCACCGTCGAGATCGCGAGCGAGATAATGGTGGTGGCTTAGCGTTCATCACGCACCACACCGTGCAGTATCGTCTTATCGAAGCAGACATCGACCGCAGGGATACCACCCTAGAATGTCAGGGCATCGCTATCCGGTCAGGCGATGTCGAGCTCGAAATATTTAACATATACATACCCCCTGTCACCTGCTGCCCGGCAGGATATCACCCTGACATAGGTGCGCTCCTCAGAGGTGAAAACCGTATGGTAGTAGGTGACTTTAATGCGCACCACGATCTTTGGCACTCAAGCCTGTCAAACGATCGTAGGGGAACAGACTTGGCTGAGCAGATAGACGATTCGACATTCTGCACAATGAACGACGACGCACCCACCAGGATTATGGGTAACTGCAGTAGCTCGCCAGCCATCACAATAGTCAGCGCTGGTCTGATAAACAGCATAACGTTGCGACCTATGCTGACTCTAGCATCAGACCATCTACCCATAGTCATCTCGATTGATAAACCAACCGACTTTGCCTCCGCCAAACACCGGACCTATATCAACTTTTCTAAAGCTGATTGGAAAGGTTACGCGGAGTTTACCGAAAACACCTTCGCAGCGCTCCCCACACCAACCGACGTCCATCTCGGTGAACGTAAGTTCCGCAGGGCTATCACTGCTGCTGCAGCTCGCTTTATACCGGCAGGATGTATATCGGACCCACGTCCAAACTTCCCTGCCGAAGCGGCTGTTCTAGCCGATGAGCGTGATAGCCTACGTCAGGCCGATCCCGGAGATCCCCGTATCAGGGATCTCAACGCGGAGATTCGGCAACTTGTAAACGTACATAAGCGGAAGAAGTGGGAGGAGCATCTGAAGACTTGTAATTTCACCTCTGGTGTGAGCAAGCTTTGGTCAACCGTGAGGTCATTGTCTAATCCGACGAAGCACGACGACAGAGTCGAAATTTCCTTCGGCGACCATGCCTCGTCGGACCCGGAGCGATGCGCGAGCTATTTTAGCCGGCAGTTCATACAGCATCCTCCGGTGGACAAAGCCAAGCGTCGAGTGACCAGAAGGCTGCACAAACTGCCAACAACTTGTGCCCCCCCCTTGCTTTCACTTGCGGTGAAGTTCAGGTGGCCATCGGGAAGGCGAAAGCCTCCAAAGCCATGGGTCCCGACGGAATATGCATGCTGATGCTGAAAAATTTGGGTCCTGCGGGGGTAGCGTACCTAACGGAGGTCCTCAACTTGTCAATGGCCACTCTCATCATCCCAGACATCTGGAAGGTGGGGAGAGTGGTCCCACTGCTCAAACCGGGGAAACCGGCAAACAAAGGAGATTCGTATCGTCCGATTACACTCCTTTCCCCGGTAGCGAAGACACTCGAGGCCTTGCTACTCCCGTACTTCACAAACCACCTGACCCCAGCGAAGCATCAGCATGGTTTCCGTAAAGTGCACAGTACAGCAACAGCACTTAACGCTATAAACACTCAGATAACTCGTGGCCTTAACCGTAACCGTCCCTGTGAGAGAACGATTCTAGTAGCGTTGGACTTGTCAAAGGCGTTTGACACCGTCTGCCATTCCACGCTACTAGAAGATATAGAGGCCTCCTCTCTCCCACAGAGGCTCAAACGGTGGTCGGCAAATTATCTGAGTGGTCGACATTCGTCGGTAATGTTCAGAGACAAAACGAGTAAGCAGCGAAAAATAAAACAGGGGGTTCCTCAGGGTGGTGTCCTTTCCCCGCTACTGTTTAACTTTTATATTTCAAAGCTCCCTCAACCACCAGAGGGAGTCTCGATTGTCTCCTATGCCGACGATTGCTCGATTATGGCGACTGGGAATGGAATTGATGACCTGTGTTCGAAAGTAAACGGCTATCTCTCCGAACTTTCTCGCTTCTTCACTGCAAAGTGTCTAGCCCTCTCCCCTACGAAATCCTCCGCGACCCTGTTCACAACCTGGACGAAGGAGGTCAGGCTACCGCTGGGGATTCACGTCGATGACACACCAATTCCGACGGTGAATAACCCCAAAATACTCGGAGTAACTTTCGACAGCCTGCTCTCCTTCTCTGCGCACTCAACCGCTATTGTCAATAAAGTACAGAGCCGCAACAAGGTCCTCAAGTCGCTAGCCGGCAGTACTTGGGGCAAAGACAAAGAAACGTTGCTGGCAACATACAAGGCAATAGGCCGGCCGGTTTTGAACTACGCAGCGCCAGTGTGGTCGCCTGGGACTAGTAGGACGCAGTGGACGAAGCTACAGACCGCACAAAACACCGCACTGAGGACAGCGACGGGATGCCTCTTGATGACGCCTGAACACCACCTGCACGGCGAGGCGCAAATGCTCCCGGTAAAGGAGCACAATATAATGCTCTGCAAGCAGTTACTGATCGGGACCCACAGAAGTGGCCACCCGTGCAGACAGCTGCTTGCAGAGGAGCCCTCGCCTAGGCACGTCAGGAGGCATCTATATGAACTAACGGACGAAGTCCAGAGGTTCATTAAGCAACCTCTGGACCCGACAGCCTACAGACAGGCCTTGAGCGGCATTCACAGGGACTCAGTCTCGAGTTATGTAGACTCTAGACCTGTGAATGCCGTTCTAGGCACACCACCCCCGGACATTGACGAGACGGAGCTTCATCTGCCTCGGGAGACGCGCACCACACTTGCACAACTTCGCTCCGGCTACTGCAGCAGGTTAAACTCCTACCTGAGTAGGCTGAATGAGGATGTGCCTAACGAATGTCCGGCATGCGGAGAGACCCCACATGACTCGAAACATCTCTTCGCATGCCCGGCAAACCCGACATCCCTAACGACCTTGTCCTTATGGGCAAACCCCGCAGAAGCTGCACGCTTCCTAGGGTTACCGTTAGTGGAACTTGACGACAACGACTGAGATACCAACCGATCTGGGCGGGGTTGTTGTAGCCGCTACAACAACAACAACAACAACGACATAAACAAAGAACCAAATAACGTGGTTTATGAAATCCAACGAAAACTGCAACAAAGTATACATAGGCACGACTAAACGAGCCCTTGGAGTCAGAATTAGTGAACACCAAGCAGACGCGAAAAATAAGAAGACGCATTTGCTCAGTACTTGACGAATAAGTGAACACATAGCAGATTTTAAGAACACCATAATTTTGGACGTGGAAAGACGAGAAAAAAAAACAAGATTAACTTTGGAGAGTCTGCGAATACAGGAGAGGATAAGGTACGCGATGAACTTTAAAGATTACCTTGACAATAAGAGTGTTCGCTATGCAAAAAACTTGTACCAATTGGTACCAATTTTTACTCTGTAAAACTGGCAAGGAGAGAGCACAATTTTGACATTTCATTTGGAGGCGAAGTTGCAAATTCGTGCTGGGAAAATTTTTGCCAGAAAATTGGAAAATTTTAATTGGCTTTGTGTGCATAGGAAAATTCCAGCAAAAATTAATTAATCACCAAACCTACTTAATCAAATTACGAGCTAATGATCAAAAATTAATTCTTTTAATCGCGGTTACGATTAACGGTTTAATCAGATTAAAATTAATCATGATTAACTGTAATTGGATTGAATTTAATCGAATTAGTGCCAACATTGCTAGAAAACGTAAAATAAAGGAGCTAATCACATTAAAAATTTTCTACTTGCTATCCTTATGTAAATAAACTAATGGTGATTTCGTTTCTTCCAATAAAAGTTGCCCTTCCAATGTTTGATTTGATTGCTGATTACTTTTGTATGGAAACTCTCTTGCGACAAAATTGCGATATTCCCATAATATTTGAGCTGCCAATCATTGCAAACTCAAAGTTGCAAAACACATGCTATTTTATTGTCTCCGAATACTTCAAGAAAAAGTATATTAGTTAAGACTGCTTCGACATATAATTGTAAAAGCTTTTATTTTTCACTTAGCCGATAGGTCGTTCATACAACTTCGTTTGCAGCGTTGCCATTTCGCCAAATATGCCACTTTGCGACGTTTTATGAATCGCATTAATCTTTTATTGTGATATTTTTTTCTGCGCTTCTAATAGCTGCATTTTTTTTTCTTTCGTTATAATTTTTTTTTTTATGGACCAATCAATTAAAACTAGTAGATATGCAAGTAGAATGCATATACTATAATTTATGTTCTTTTGAATTATTTGAAGTGGGGCCTACGGGATATTTATTTTTAGTAAAAATTTCAAACAGTCATTTTGTTTGCTTGTCGAGCGTCGTCGAGCAATATTCTTTTATAGGGATATATTTTGGATCCTTGGCTATAAACCTCTGTTACTATCCGCCTACGTCTGCTTTCTGCGCTATTTAATGTCGGACGTTTAAGATCTTTCAAAGGGATTCCAAGCAGAAATATTCAACGGCTAGTTTTAGGGAGAGTCGATGCTGGCATAATTAAAAATCTGTTAGTCTGATCGAATATCATTTGTCAAAGATCTGGTGAAAAAACTCCCACTGTTTTTTTCATCAGTAAAAATAACTTAAAAATATAAGAAAACGAATGCGGAAAAGTACTCTAGATACTCAAATGCTTTCGTCAGAGCTGAGTACCGAGATTTTGGGGCAATAGAACAAGCAAAAAACAAAAAAATAAATAAATAGAATAAAAAATAATTAAATGAAAAAGAACCTGCATAAAAATAAATAGTTAAGAAATAAATATAAAATTTCGTTTCCTGACGCTGAATAACTCCTTTTAATTTAGTTTTAACCGACTTCACAAAAAGGAGAAATGTTATCAATTCGTCGGAATATTGTTTTTTTATGTATGTTACCGCATAACTTTGGACCACGTTAACCGATTTCTATAATTCTTTTTTAAAGGAAAGGTGTTACCTCATATCTCACATTTTTAAATGAGAATTCTAGTCGGTTTTGTTTTTCGCTTAAACATATTTTTTATTAAAAAAAAAACTGGCATAAGTTTTATAGACACCAACTTTATGATATACTAAATTCATTATAGTTGATCAAAAACCCATTTTTTATAACTTCTTTAATTTAATTTCGTAATTTTATGTTGAATTTTAAGTTATCAAAGCGTCGAACAAAGTGTTGGTAATCTGTCAAAGGCCGTACATGAGGCCCCAATGTAAGTAATTGCCTTCCAATACTATAACAACACTTGTGTCAACTTTGTCTACTAAAACGGTTCACTTCGATTCCATTTTCGCACTAACTAATTACATATGTTTGTATGTATATCCATTTATTAACCAGCTCTAAAAAGGAAAAATCTATGAAAAAAATACTTCAACGCTAACAATTTCGAATCGATTCCATGAGAAATAATCTCATTTTTTTTCTATGCTCCAGTACGTTTAAAAAGATTGTTTAAACCCTTTTTTTGATTAAGATTAAACATCTAACGTTTTTTATTTAAAGTATTTATTTCATTTTTTAAATGTATGGCATTGTAATCACTTCAACCGTGTTGAAATCTCTATCGACATTTCTCGTAAACTTTTTTTATGTATGTTTTTTCGTGTGATTTTTTCTTTGCCCATCAAAATCACTTATCCACTTCTAAAAACTCATTAGCGCAATTTTAAAGTATATCCCGATTTATATTTATTCATTTGTATTTCAGTTTCCAACGCACCGAATCGGTGCTCAAGTCAACATCGGAAAAGACCGCATCGGTATTTGGTAGCATAACCAGCGGCATAACATCGAAATTCTCACAAATGAAAAACTCGGAATCGATGCGTTCGATTGAAGAGAAGGTTGGCTCAGCCTATGAGAATGTTAAAGTAAGCTATGATCACAACAATTTTTTGTGCCAACCCCATGCGGTAACTATAAACTATTTTTCATTCCTATCTAACACCTTACTCTACTATAAATAATTTGATTATTGCCTCTCCTACTCATGCTCACAACTATAATAAAACAAAAACAAATACTCGGGACACAACACTAAGCTCGTACAAAATTTGTAATATAAAATATCAAATTATTTGTTTTGATTGTTTTAAAAACTGTGTGTTTGTTTGATAGAATCAGGGTACGAAAATAAACTGTACAAAACAATTCCCATTTGCTCATCGCTCATCATATCATTTGTGGTTTTGTACAGTTTTGTACATAGTCAGAAACATGATTCAATAATACAAGGTTGTGTAATTTGTGACAGCTAAAATTTGACACTCCTTTATCTAGATTTGTATTTTGGAAGTAGGAGAAAGGGGAAGAATGTGATCGCATTTTGCGAAAACGGTAGTAGAATGGTACTACAAAAAGTATGCAAATTATACAATTAGAAGTAAAATGTGTATTAATAATTCTATGCGAATTTGCAATATATTTGGTGTTTTAATGGAAATACTAAACAAGACATAAAAATATGCATTTTTGATTTAAGTTCTTCGTCATTTCGGGGAACAAATCTAGAATGCCGACCGTTCAGCTATGCAAAAACGAAAAATGCAAAATTATTTGGCGCAAGTAAAAAATGAAGAGGTTCTAGAAGGTTAAAGTTCAGTTTTTAGATATTTTAAATATTAACATCTTTTGAACTTTATAACCGATTAAAAAGCTAATGACGTCACCATAAAGGTAATTTGTTCTTCAGCTGATGTACATAATTTATAGCTTTTTGTATTTTTAAACCAAAACCACTAAAAAACGAGCAAATATTATTTTTTCATGAAATAACCTTTTTTGATAAAACTGCATAATTAATAGGAAAGAATTTTATATTATTTAGAAAGTACAAGTCATTATCTTTAATTCGATAGTACATATTTTATCATGATCTACTTTTGGGTTTTAAGAATTTAGTGATAATAAAAAATACAAATAAACCCCTATCTTCTTTTTTCTTACCTGCGCCAAAATTTGGAATCGTTGAAATCAGCGTAAAAAGTTCTATCAATCGGCATTTTTGGTTATTTTATAGCTAAACGGTCGCTATTCTACACTTGTTCTAGAAAATTACGCAAACGAAGGTAACGCCAAGGAATATTTAGTATGAAGAATTTTTGGTTTTACTACTAATATCACTAGAAACTATAGAGTAAGCAACATTCTGCACAAGTAAAGGAGCCGGCTTTATGTGTGGGAGCGAGAAGACTGTTTTATTACAAAACCTTTCTATTATTGAATCATGGTCAGAAACAAATTGTATGATTCACTGTCATTTTCCCCAACGAGAAACGTTTGATTTTCGTTTGTGACAATTGTACCATAGGTACGGTGACCATCCGTCCTGTATTATACGGGACAGTCCTCTTTTTTGACCAATTTTCCTGGTAATTTATTAATTTTATACGGGACGCCAAATGTTCTGTATTTCTTTTGATGTCCTGCATTTGTCCCGTATTCGGTGTTCGGTATTTCGACGCCTTAACAGCTCATTAAAATGGCATGCCATGAACCAGTTTTAAGAGATGTTGGTATATGTATGATCGTATTTTTTCCATAAACAGTTATTATTTTCTAACCCGAATAACTGTGATTGTAATCGAGGGATACATACAGTGTCCAAAATATAAATTAGGACTCGACATTTTAGCAAGGTGTGGCTATTTGTCTTTAGTGCATTTAATGTTTACTAGTTTTTTATGAAAGTAAAGCTCTTTTCTTAACAAAAGTCATATAAATCCAAATTTCAGACTTTGTGCAAAAAACCCTAAAAACTAATTCTGCAATGTTTCACCAAAATTTTAAACTTTTTAGTTAGAATCTTAAAAAAAAATGGTTTGCAGTTTTGTAACCCATTAGGATTTAGTGTAATAAGGTGCAAGTGGAAAGTGCTGCTCATTTTCTTCTCTTTTAAAAAGTTGTCGAACATACTTTGTATGAAATAATTTGTAACACCGTCTAAAAAAAAACTGGCAAAAATTAACGGTAAGTCCTACCGGCTTAAAAATTGCACTTTTGTACTAAATTTAACGAATCTTTTTAAACAAATTTTGCGCGGTAAAAATCTCGAGAAGAATATCCTACAAATTTGTGATGTTACTATAAGGATGCTGTTTCAGGCATAATACATCTAGGATCATTGAATAAGGCTTTAAGATCTGTAGGTTTTTTTTGCAAAAAATATGCAAAATTATTTTTTGTCCCGTATTCGGCTCCCATAAATATGGTCACCGTAACCATAGGGGACGTTTTATATGTATGCAAACGTTTCAATTACGTGGAAAATATTTTTTTTCTGTAAATTTTCATATCCAATTCAATTAAAAAACATTTTTATTTTTTTTATTCATTGCAGCCATTCGTTTTATATTTAGTTATTGCATATATGTACATACCCTGTGGGGAAAATCTCTAGTTCTGAACTGGTGCGCTTCTAGTACATTTAGACCCAGTACTGGTTCGCGATAAATATATTTTGCATGCAAACAACTGGCGAATTTAATATGGCGATGTCCTAGCAAGTGTCAATTGCCCCCCGCTGCATCCCTTTTTCGATAGTTCCGAACTGGACCTAAATTCTATAGTTCCGAACCAGTTCTAAAATCGACAGACGAAAGAAAAAGGTATCATCATTTTTCAATCTTTTTGGTTCTTCCGTGTGTGCGATTTTAAGTTATTTTGGAAGAAATGTGTTTTCAATTTGAAATTAAATTTGTTTGACCTTTACCTGTAGCTAAGTTTGCAGAGGTGCTCGCTGTTAGATTCCAGACGGTCCCAACATGTTGAAATGTTAACACAAATTTTGGTTTTGTATTACCAAGCTATGAAAAAGCATCTGCGAAATGCAGAATAGAAGCGTATTTGAACGAAAAAGCCGCCGAACACATATCTATGTAAAGTAAACAAGCCCCCTGCTGCATCCCTTTTTCGATAGTACCGAACTAGTTCTAAAATCGACAAATAAGATCTAGTTCGTTCTGCATCTTTTTTTCTATAGTTCCGAACCAGTTCTAAATTCGTCACTTTAGATATATGTAGATTTCCAGTGAAAAAAAACTGAAAAAAATAGTTTTTTAAAAGTACCACTTTTCGCCGATTTTGGACTGGTGGGGATCTAGCTCCAATCGGACTAGTTCCTTTTTGGCGATAAAGACCTAGTACGAAACTAGAAATTTGATTCACTAGTCCGTGGTTTCCCTGCAGGGTACATACATATATTTTTCTCTGCACGATTCATTTCGTTTGTTGCATGGTGAAATAAATATAAGGTGATGTCACTTACATAACCTCACTTTTTCTGCATGCCAATTGCGGCCATGTATTTTGGGGTCGGAGAAAATGGGCGAAAGGATAGGATTATTTTAACTACTTTTTGGGTACTATTTCCAATACATACATATATCAGTGGACCCCACACCAGTTAAATGAAGCTTGCATCAATAAAATATTTTTTCTGTAAGCCAGTGTAATTACAGTTTCATTTTTTCGCTCAAAAGAAATTATTCTTACTTAATTTTTATTTTTTCGATCAAATATATTGATTTTAATAATTATTATTCAGTTATTTTTTTCTACTTTAAAATTATTATTTGTAAAACTTTAAGGCCACACGGTCGTACCACACACATATGATGATGGTTAATACTTAAAAAATAAGGACTATTTTCCGTCTTTCATTTATTCATATTAAAACAAATTAAGTTATACCGTTCTCTTTATTTAATTATTCTTAAATTCTTCTAAAAATGACATATTAGCCCGTATGGAATTTTATTTCTATTTTTTCCTTAAGTTCCGAAGTACACGTATATGCGTACTTAGTTTTTAAATACCTTAACTTTAAAGGGAATTTTATTACGACCTTTATTTTCGTTAACATTTAAAAATTTAATTTCTGAATTCTATCAGTTATATTATAAAATCATTATGCGTTTAAATTGTTAGACATGTGCATTATCGTAGCCATTTGAGGCACTGCTCCAATAATCTGCTGGATATGTATAGTATATAATTTATCAAAAATTTACTTACAAAATCGCAATTATTGGAAATTATCGCTCAAATTTTCCAACGAATTTGAAACGAAAAGTCAAAGCAAAAGCGAAACAAAGAAACAGTTACTACGTTTATACCTAAGCTATTTGCAAACAAAAATAATTTGCAAATACCTAACTCACTGTTTATTCGTTGGTGAAAAATTCTTTTTTAATATTGCCTGATTAATAATGTGACCATCGAAAAAAAAATTACGTTAAAAATGGCAACGTCTTGATTATTAAAAGGCAATAAGATGACGACCATCGAAAATAAAACTAAGAATGGCGGCGTCTTGCGCTTATTTGCAAATAGTACCACTAATCACTACTTATTTTCGTGATTTAGTTATTTGCAAATAAAAAATTAACTCAGCGTTTATACGGCAAAGTTTACCATTTTGCAAATTGTTATTTGCAAATAATACGTGCGTATAAACGTAGTAAGTGATAACTGCGCATAATTTTTTCACACAATTGTCTGCTTCATTTTTTGTTCCATTTTGCCCAGAAATGAAATTGAAATGAATAGAGTAGGCATTACTGTAACGCTGGTATGCCGAAATTGCCATAATTACAACAACCACCCCCTAAGTGAGAACACCTTATTATTATTTCACCATGGTTTGTTGTTTCGTCTGTAAAAGTGTCAAAAAACGAAATTCTGTAAGTCAGATGCAGTGTGAAATCTTTTGAACAGCATAAAAAGAAAGCTTAAATGTCTTCCTTTTATCTGTGAAAATTAGGTTTCTTTTAAATGAAATATGTGAATGGAACCCGGAATTTTTTATATATTCTCTATCACATTTATATAAATTTTTATTAAAGTTGCCTCATTCTAAGTGGTAATAAGGCTTTCAACGTAAGTTACCAACCAGGGCTGCGGCCGCCAAGATCACAGAGATTAAACACACAGTTTTTTTTTTATTAATCACTTTGTTTGTACATTTTCTGACTCACTGTTTGCTAAAATTAAATTTCAAATTTATACAAAAAAATACTATTTACCTACCTACTTACACAAAACATTTTGAATAACTTATTTTATGTACTTATCTGTAGACTTTTAACAAACGAATTAAACTTAAAAAAATATCTCAACTAATTAAGCTAAAATCGATTTTAGGTTAATATGTGTATGATGTTAAAAAAATTTAATATTTTAATTCAGCTTTTAGTAAGTTATGTAGATACATATGTAAAATCTAAATGTACTGCAGTGACTGCTTAATAGATTAAATACTTAACTTGTGTTCATCAGCTTAAAAGCTATCTAAGTACATTCATGCTAGTTTATCAAAAGTCTACTGATAGATATGTTGTATGTAGATATCGCTCATTTACTTTAATAGTGTGAAAATAATAGAAAATCGAGTTAAGTATGTAGAAATGACCGCGAACTGTTCTTCTATGTTGTGTAAAAATTCCATAGCTTTACCGGTTTCCAGTAGCTCACTAGAACATATTAACTATTATTTATATGGATTATATGTAAATTCCAAACTTTAAAACAGTTCTTCTCGAGTTTTTGGTTTTTTAAGTTATGGCAGTGTTGAAGTAAATGAGCGATAAGTTAAGGGCCGTTTTCTCAAGTAGCTTTTTGAAAATAATCTGCCCTTTAAATAGTTGTTCTAAAACTAACTTTGTGTTAAAAGGGCAGATAAATTTTAAATGTTACTTGACAAAACGGCCCTAAATGTATTCTATCGAGGGCTTATCTGTATGTTTCTGTGTATTACTTAAAATTTTCATAAAAATTAAGTTTTGAATAAGAATGCACCTCCGAATTAACAATGGGATTTCAGAGGTGACAGCTAAACCGCTGGCGACTTCAAATTCAGAAATTCGTTTTTATAAAAATTGCAGATAGAGAGATTTGAATATGTATAAGACCTCAATATGTAAATGGAAACTTACTATTAATATCTTGCATGCTAAGCTTTCATCAATATTGTGTTTTTTACTAATCAATTGTTTCTCTTTCTCTCGTTTCATGTTATATTTACGCCATCTGACTGTTTAACTGTGTGTGTGTGTGTGTGTTATGAAGACACGTGTGTCCACTTCACGTTCGGGTTCGATTACCAGTTTCCCTGATGCCTTAAACGAAAACAATTCATCATCCGGCCTAAACTCACCAACCGATTCTGTACCAAAATAAGTGCGGAATATTGCAAGCTCTACTATTTAGTTTTTAAAATGCGAATTCATTTGCCGAAACCGCAACTTTGTATGCAATGGTAATCATATGCAATGATGCTGTAATTTTATTTGCGACCAAACAAATTTCGCAACGATTTCAAAACCACTACATACAGTATCGGTCATATCTATAGCACGCCATTTCAAAGTGATATTGTGTGCAACTTATGTTTATTTATTTATTTTTAAGAATTTTCAATTAAAATACAGTTCTTTCTCTACCAAACCCCATATAAACCCAAGTTTAACAATTGGTAGAAAACTTCAAAAAAGTGCAACAAATTTTCACCTAAGTTTCAAACTTTTTTCTCGGAAGTGTTAGAATTTTTTTGAGTACACAGTTTTTTAGCCCCTGCAATTTTAGTCTAATAATGTGCAATTTTCAAGTGGCTACGAATTACCGTTAATTTTTTAGATTTTTTTTTGTTGCATTGGCTTCCATATAATGAATAAACTCAATTTATTTGTATATGGATGAAAACCGCAACACCTTTGGCGAAAAAAATTCTAAAAAATCAACGGTAACTTTCAGTCACTTGAAACTTGCACATTATCAGACTAAAATTGCAGGGGCTAAAAAACTGTGTATTCAAAAAAATTCTTACACTTCCGAGAAAAAAGTTTGAAACTTAGGTGAAAATTTGTTGCACTTTTTTGAAGTTTTCTACAAATTGTTAAATTTGGGTTTATATGGGGTTTGTTAGAGAAAGAACTGTATTTTAATTGAAAATTCTCAAAAATAAACAAATAAACAAAAGCTGCACACAATATCACTTCGAAATGGCGTGCTATAGATATGACCGATACTGTACATACAAAGATACTTATGAAGAATATAAAATATACTTTTCATTATTCTCCTCATCTACGAGTGCGATATTTGGATTTTTTCTTAAATGTACGTAGTATTTTCAATTTTGCAATATGTTTGCAAATTAAAACGCAAAAATTTAACGAAAACGAGAAATAACAATTTGTATACACACATATACACTACTACTAACCTTACACCTTAGATATGTATATTTGTATGAAGTTTATTAAACTAGCTAAATGCTAAAGCGATACCAAGAAAGTGAACGAAAAAAAAAATAGTTTTGGAGATATTTTTTTTTTGCTAAATCGAAAAAGTAAAACATGCGGTCCCAAAATATCTTATGATCGCAAAAAAATCACAGTTTATTTAATGGCTTAAGCCAAACATTATCTTCTGATATTTTAAAATGAATCCTGAAAAAAAGCATTTCGTATGCATGTGTTTACTACCTTTACCATTACTTTTAAACAATCAAGTAAGCAAAAACTAATTTCCTTTCTTATTTTATTTGGTTTAAGAATGCGATGACTTGTTAAAACATGTTTTGTTCTTAAATTACTTCAATCTAAATCTTGAAACTATTTATTTTCATTTTAATTTTCTTTTAGACTTTAACCCGTGTAATGCAATGGCGTTTATAACATTTATCCTAAACATTATGTATTACAACCATGAATATTAAAAAAACATTGCTTCGCAGTTGATTAAAAAAACTGCAAAAAAAGTAAAAAAGCATGAAATGAGCTTTACAAGTTGAAGGCGTGTCAACGCGTAATAGCAGAGTTGTGTGCAGCAGCATTTTTGAATATTATTTCCATAAAACTATTGATCTAAATATATTCCACTTTGAAAATACAATAATATTGTTAAGTGTATTTTTGCTAAATAAATAAATAAAAATCAATAAATGAGTGTACATATATGCGTCTTAAACATTAATTCAACTTATACATATTATGTATACATACATAGATATATTGGGTCGATAAAAAAGAGTCATTGCGTATGTTGCCAACAGCTTATTTTAGTGCTGGTAATCAGGAAGGCCCACGCAGCTTGAGGACGAAAAAATAAACGTTCCCAAGTTAAACAAACGTTGAAAATCAGTCAAAAGGAGCTAAAAGAAAGTGAAAAATAAAATGATAACTGGCAATGAGAAGTGACTTCTTTCACACAATGTGAAACGCAAATTGTATTGATCCAGGCATTATGATTCACATCAATCGACTTTAAAAGCAGAATATATTCAAAAGTATCTTTGAGCTTCTTTTCCTGGAACCGAACAGTTAATTACTTATGATGAGTACTAACGGCGATTGGAAAGTGTGATTGAATTTGTCAATAGTAAAGGAGTTTCATGACGACAACGTTAGACAATACACCTTTTTGACGACGTGAAAAAAAATATTGGAGCCAGAAAAGGATGTGTTGTCACGCGCAGCATCTCGTCTGAGCATGCTAGATCCAGTTAAATGCTCCTCATGCTGCCAGATTTGCATGAATACACATAGCATATGTTGCTTTTTCATGGTGTATACTTTTAGGCCCAACTGCTTTCTATTTACTTTTATTTAGCGCAGCGATATTTAAAATTCCACTGCTGATAAGTATTCATTTGGGTTTCCTTATATTTTAGGGTCCATATATTTTACATCTAAAGTTATTTGCTGTTTTTTTTTAATTATATAACTACATAGTTTTGAGTGGGAATGTACTTTTTGTTAGTTTGTTTAATTAAAACTTCTCACTTTCGTTCTTTTTTTCTGAGTGTACTGTATCAGCTGTTGGTTTACTACCTGATCAGCCGGTGAAAGAGGTTTGTGCAACACCCAAGAAGTGCTTTTTGTTTTTAGTTGGTTGTTTAAAAGTTTAACACTTTGTAAATTAAATTAATGGTAGTTGTAAATTAAAGGATGTTTTCGTTTCTCAAAAGTCGGCCCATTTTTTGGGCAAGTGTTACAGGCACCACGATTGGTGCTGCGTTCTTTATCAAGTATGTATGTAGGCTTTTGTCGAAATACAACCTCCAATTCCAAAGTTACACATTTACTTTCTTCAATTAGGGATTTGATGCAAGGAGAGAGGTTCAAAAATGCGATAAAAGCTGAAAATAAGGTAGTCATTGTGACAGGGTCGAATACAGGCATCGGTAAGGAGACCGCACGGGAGTTGGCCAAACGTGGCGCCACGGTTTACATGGCCTGTCGTGATATGCAGAAATGCGAAGAGGTAATCTTATACCAATCATCACTTACATATGCATGCATGTATGTACTGTAGGGAAATTCTTTATAGGCTCGCGATGAAATTGTTTTAGAAACCTATAATAAACACGTTTACTGCCGGCAATGTGACTTGGCATCGTTAGAATCGGTGCGGAAGTTTGTTGAGAGGTGAGTGGTTACGTTTAAATTAACAACCTGGCAATATCCACGATAAAATGTTTGATATCCTCTACAGTTTTAAAAAAGAACAACAGCGGCTCGATATTCTTATTAACAATGCTGGTGTAATGCGTTGCCCGCGTTTGCTAACCAAGGATGGTTTTGAAATGCAATTAGGTGTTAATCATATGGGCCACTTCCTACTTACTAATTTAATGCTGGATTTGCTAAAAGTAAGGAGGAATTTATTATTTGTTATTTCGTACCTATGCATCTTATTTAAAGTCTTTCATTTTAGAAATCTGCGCCAAGCCGAATAGTGACAGTTTCTAGTTTGGCACATACGCGTGGAGAAATCAATGTAGCCGATTTGAATAGCGATAAATCATATGATCCCGGCACAGCTTATAATCAAAGTAAATTGGCAAACATATTATTTACTCGTGAACTTGCTAGACGCTTGGAAGGTGATGCAATGTAGTTCACTTATACTACATACATATTTATGTACATACATAATGGCTAAATGAGGAGTTTTTATACAATTAATAGGTACTGGCGTTACAGCTAATGCGCTGCATCCTGGCGTGGTGGATACGGAACTTTTTAGACACATGGGCTTCTTCAATAGTTTCTTTGCAAGGTTCGTATGTACATATGTATGTATGTTTTTATATTTTCTAATTTCATGACTATAATTTCAATAAAAAAACATGCATTGGCGTATGTACATTTATAGCTTAGTTTTCAAACCGCTGTTTTGGCCCTTCATTAAGTCACCTCAGAATGGTGCTCAAACTACACTTTATGCTGCCTTGGATCCAGAATTAATTAATGTGTCCGGAAAATATTTTAGTGACTGCAATTTGAAAGACGTAGCGCCTGCTGCCTTGGACGATGCTCTAGCAAAGTGGTTATGGGCTGTTAGTGAAAAGTGGACCAAGCTGAAAGTTTAATATTTTACACTTACAAACAAGTTTTAAATAAATGCCATTTGGTTATGAAAACACGTGTATTAAATTTTTTTTTGGCAGAAAACAATGAATGAGACTCAGAATCGAATACGAATAAATTAATGAAGAATTATTTACGTATCCATATGTAGTATGTATGTATATGAGTATCTTACAAAAAAACATATGACATCCGTATTTAATAGTGATTTGAAAAAATGTTTTAATTCCTTTTTAATCGCATCGCTTTGGTTGTCTAAAATTTATTCAATTCAACATTTCCTTTTCTCTTTGTAATATTTCCGTCTCCTATTAGACACGCGATATATTTTTTATCCAAAATCTTATTAGAATTCTACTGCATGCAAATTCACCTGTTGTTTCAGCGGCGAATGCAACCCTGTACTTCGGAGTTTCCGTGGTTCACTTTTGACAGCCAAACGCCAGCTGAGTCGCTGCCGTATTTTGACCACTCAAAGTAAGTGGCAAAATAACAGGTGAAGAGGAAAATTTAAGTACATACATACCTGTCCTCTTAAGGTTTCCTTTCGCTCGCGTAAGCCACGCAAATCTCAACGTAGTAGATCGTATGTACTTGATTTTTTCTTGAGTCTCAATAAAGTGTGAAAGGTGAAAAACAAATAACGGAGAAACGCGATTTTGTGGTTAATTTTGCAAACGAATTGCAAAGAATCCCCACACGAGGATCGATATCGTGCTGAAAAAGTTTTTCTACTGTGTTTTTTATAAAGTAAATAAAAAATAATCGAAACAAGTGCCTTTTAAATGTGATTTAATTAAAAAACAAATTAATTGCAAACAACAACTCAGAATAAAATAGCTACGACATTAACAAGCATGTAAGTTGATGCATATATACATATGTATATACATACATACATACATATGTAACACGAAAGTACGCAAGTAAGTCTACACGTACATATGTACATATGTATGTTTATACATACATTCACACATATGTACGCAGGTTCTTACTCATATGATTTTTTCTCTTAGCAAAGTGATGCAAAATTTTATTAACATTGCTCACAACCTATTTTGCAAAATTTATTGTTGAGCTTTCTTATTTGCTTTTGAGCACTTCTTTTCTCTTTAATTTTCGCGCATTATATGCACTGGATTTCATTGGCCAGACTTTGCATAGCTAATTTGAATAGTTTCTTCTTCACCTAATTCGACTTTCCATTAAATTAGTAATTTTTAACTGTCTTCTGACTTTTTCTGTTGAGCGACACATAATATGCATACCTTTATATGCACATACATACATTCATATATACATTCGTATGTCTATACATATCTACAAAAAACAGTGTTTGCATTTGCATTCCTACATACATTCATATAAACACCTAAACATGTTTTACTTAACTTAGTATCGTGCAGTATTTGTCTTCGCACAGTGGCGTTGACATCGACTTCGGCGTTTTTGCCGACGTGAGCGTCTCGCTTGTCGTCGACATCGACAGCGACGGCGGATACCCAGTCATTCTTCTTCTAGTGTACCGAACTCAGTTCCAGTGTTGCCAGAGAAATTTTATTAAAGATCTTCCAAGTGATAATAAAATCTTCAAAAACCCATAAAAAGGTTACTGAAATTGGGAAAAAATCTTTTTTCCTTAGAAATATCTCAATTGAAGACTTTATAACAAATAAACTTCAACTTTTTTTCATTGTTTTTTATACAACACCATAACACATTTTATTAAAAAATAAAAAACAAAAATAACAATTCGATTTACAACATACAAACAAATTGAGTTTTTATAATACGAATTTTGCGGTCTATAAGTTTACATAATAAAATTAAAAATTGAATAATGAAACCACAAACAGACTATAAATTTAGTGATTAAATTACCAAAACTGTAACAATCTCATGAATTCATCACAAATTTACTTAACTATTTCACAAAAAAAAACAAGTAGTGTTACGAGTATTTTTATAACTACACTGAGAAAAGCGTTAAGTTACGTCAACAAAATGTTTCTCTCAACACATGATTTGGTTATATTTAGTTACCAAATCGTGTGTTTAGAGAAATATATATTTATTTTTCTGAGTGCATATATTTTCAAACATGGCAATTAAGAAAAAGTTGCATAGAACTGTAAAAATATACAGTATATTTAAGTCTCGTAAGTTGTACTTTGGAAATGTTTTAATAAATATTTGTTCTCATTTAAAGCTCACTAACGACCGTACTTTTTAAATAATACTTTGTATAAAGAACACTACTTAAGGTAGTGGTTTCCAGCTTATTACGAATTTTTCAACTTTATTTGTTCAAGTTTATTTGAGAAAAAACTCTCCGGATCTGTGCATTCATCCTCGATATCGGATGATGATGATGATGATGATGTTTCTATAAAGTTTGCCTTAACAAATATCGCTTCATAATTTTTATGTTATGGAATTGACAACGCCAAGTTTGAGCTGCGCAATGCCGAGTTTGAGCGCGAATTTTTACAGGGAAAATCAAGTCAAATATATAGGTACATATCTACCTGTCCTTTAAGGTAAACTGATGAAAAAACGGAAAGTTTTTTGTCACTTACCAGTGCCAACTACCAAAATCCACAGTGTACACAGTGGGCCCGGTTGGACGTTTTATTTTTTTGCTATTCATATTTGTGAATAGAATCCTAGCTGTCCTACTTTCACATGTGCAGCAGTAAATTGATGACAAAAACGAAAAATTTGTTGCCAACTATCCAAAAACAAATCTTCAAGTGCTGCCAAATATCTAAACTGTGAAGATTTTTTGTGCGGAGTTTTATTTTGTTGTAATTATCTTCATTTGAAGAATTTTCTGATTATTTATGAAAAATATTTTAATTTTGAAGATAATTCAATAATTCTGGCAACACTGCTCAGTTCTTCAGTCAATGCTTCTTCGTTTGTTATGCTCGTTTGTGCTAGAGACAGTTCATTTTTTTTATAGATTTTTCTGCTGTTTTAACTTGTTTTCCTCTATGACAAGACTTCATTGATCAGCGCTGCCGAAATGGGAGTAATTTTACGTTGAACAACTGGTATTTGACTGCATTATTGTTCGTTTGCTGTTCAGTACATACACTCGTCGCTGTTATCGTATGAAGATGTGTTTTTTTATAATCAGTCTTTTTGAAGGTTAACATCTGAAACTGTTCATACGCTTACTCTTTATACTAAAATTAGTTTATATAAAGTGTATACATTAATTTAGCAGGATTAATGGTTATCCCTAAATTAACTACTCTTTCGAGTTTTTTGCAACAATAATCCCTACCCATCAAACAATTAGCTTTGAGCTCAACTTGAGGTTAAGTTGAGAACTAAGATATTTCTTAAATCTTCAATGTTGTTTTTCAACAGTACCTCAAGTGGAGGTACTCAACAAAGTTTGCATTTTCTTTGTATGAAAATAGGACTGATTCTCAAGTTGAGAAAATGCTAGTTCTCGACTTGAACTAAAATTTGATTCTCCAATTGGTCTCAAATATATCGAGCCCTAACCGCGAAATTAACGCAAGCGATATATTTTTGGAAATTAGTTTTTTGATGTAGAATTGTTATTTTATTCTTAAACCCATAACAGGTCAACTGTTAAAAAAATTTTATCGTCAATCGTCATAGTCACAGATATACACGATGGGTTACGTTTTATGAAGTAGGGAAAGTGCAAATGAAAAATTTGATCTTAGCGAAAAATGTTAATTATCGGAGCTGAAGATAATGATAAAAAAGGTTCTTAATCAAAACGCCATACTTTGGTATTTACAAAACATTATAAAAAAAAGAACTTATTTTCATTTCCATTTTTAGCTATCGAGCTCCCAAGAGAAAGTAATCTTACCAAGAAGAACCCCAAAATTGACAATACTGATTCGTTTTTTGCTCTAGTCTAGTTGCTCTTTCAGACACGCCAAGTCATGCTTTCAAGTCTTCTCGCTCGTAAGCGAAGGAGGTGAAAAGAGATACATACATACCGTAAAGTAGTTATGTGCGGTCCCGAGTACTTAAGGAACAGGTTCTGCCGGTTCTGCCGGTTCTAAGGAGAACCGCGAATTTGGACCGGTAACCGTTCTCGAAAAGTGGTAACGGAAATAGCACCTATCGAAATAGCTTAACAAACGTTAAATTCAACTTCGTTTTATGCATGCGGAGTTATATTTTTTTCATACCAAGAATGTTAATCCCGAGATCTTGGTCTTTTTGAATAAAAGAAAAAATAAAAACGCCTCTTTAAATAAAAAAGGAGGTTTCAAACCCATTTATTTATTATTTATTTTATGGTAGGAGAGCTTATCAAACAGTATAGACGCAATTTTCTCGATTTAAGTTAATGAAAAGAAATGAATATCTAACCCCGGCATCCCGAAAAACCCGGGATCGTAAAAACCGAAAAAATTAACTTCCGTAATACATACATAATATGTATTTTAAAAAATGGGGAGAAAATTGGCATTCGCCTAACTTCAGTACTCGCTATTTATGTATCGCCGCTTGCTCATCCAATTTTGCTAAAATCCATGTCACACACCTGTGCTTGGTTTGCCCTGCGCGAAATGTTTATAGGTAAATATTCTCCAGATTTCTTATCTCTTCGTCTTTACACCAATCATTTCCCGTCGCTTTCACCACTACATTCATATATGTATGTATGTACATATTCATATGTACCGATTTAACCACTAATAAAAGCTTGTGTTTAAAAAAATTGTTTTTAAATTGCTGTTTATACGCTAATTTCGTACTGTTCTTGAATAAAGTCAAATTTGTAATTAATAAAATTTGTTTGTTTTTGTATATTCTGCTTTTACCATTTTCTCATCACTTTCATACTATTTTTGGTTCTCAGGTCCTGTAATTCTTTTAGCTATGAAATAGTTGGTCACTTTAATTATACTTAGTACCTACATATTTCCACAAAGATAATGGTAGGTAAACGGCAAATGTAGAAAGTATTTCCCAAATCTTCGCTTTTTGTCGTATTTCATCGCTGTGTGCTCTTTGGCATACATTTTTCGAGTAGCCTGAGCATAGAAGTTAACAACCATACTATTTTGTAGTAGAGCCGGATGCGGGGAGAATGTGTAAGCTTATTTGATTGCACAACGAAAAGCGTCCAATTGGTAGCGGAAATGCAAAAACGACAAATTTATTTTTGCGCAAAGCAACGAAGAAGAATCGAGCAGCGGCGGAAGCCGAACCAGCGCTGCAATGATGGCGTCGACTGTGGCTGACGCGTAAGCGTCGAAATGGTCGATGTCATGACGAGGAAAACAAATACTGGTACGTACTACTAGTTGCGGCTCTTTGGAGCACAAAACTGTCGGAACAGCTGATTTGCTGCACATTTGCGCAGAATCCAGAAATAAGTATGCCGTGCTTTCCGCACATTCAGCCGGTGAGGTGGCGGGCGCACATAACCCGCCACCTGTATATTCCTTATCTTGCTATGGTGTTTATTGTCAGTGTTTTTTGTCTGCTTACTATTTGAGCGGTGGTTAGCGAGCGGTGCAGTCGATACGTTTTGAAACCTGTCGTGACATTCCCGTTTTCAGTGCGAGGATGTTTGTCATACCGAGTGCATGGTAGCTTTGCGTAAAATAATAGCGTTGAAGGTGCGTAATTACAAGGTGGCGTATACATATAAAAATACAAGTGTTCATTATTTAAAATAAAAAAAAATAAAATTAAACTTTTTACAACCAAATTCATAAAAAATAAACAAAGTATAGATCGATAATTTGCCACTTTATAAAGTGCTTTAAACCTATTTTATTTTTTATGAATAAGGCCATTAAAATCTTACATATTTTACAGTTCTTCAAACTCTTATTGGTTGCATAATTAGCGTTACAAATTCCTTTATCAATTCAGATTTTCCTTACTTTTTCTTGCAGATAATAACAGCAAACAGCAGCAACAACGTGCAAAAAAAAAACGAGAAAATGAAAAAAATTTAAAGTAGCAACAGTCGCAAAAAAAAAAAATTAAAATAAGCTAACAAAACAACAACTCAGCGCATTATTATCTACAATTCATACACCATTCATATTATTCTACCCATAAAACAAAAACAAAAAACGAAAAAAATAAGCACCCAAATTAAAAGATAAAATACCGTTTGACGAAAGACGTGTATTCTGTGATAAACAGTGTTTCTCAAACTGCCTTAACTAATATAAAGTCAACGGAAGCAAATTAAGAAAACAAAAAATAAATAAAATAAAATTTTTACAAACGTGCTTCCCTCGCTTGCCGTTACAAACATCGCGCAGTGATAATTTGTGCTGGAAAATTCCAATCAATTAAAAAAAAAAAATTTGCAAAAATAAATAAAAGAAGTATTTTTTTTTAATAAAAAATTGATAAAAAATTTAGCCAATTTAAGTGTGAACTTGTGAACGAACCTAAATCCACTATCGCTAAAGTCTACTCTCACTAAAATCGATTTAGCTTTGTTCTACGAAATACAACGCAAATACGATTATTAATATGGATTCGCAGGGCTATGAGAATGCACGTAACATGACGCTGCTCTTTTTCCTTGAGCGTCTCATGGACAAGGGCGAGGCGCGCACCGTACATGATTTGTCCTGTCAATTTGGTAATAAGGAGTTCACCAAGGAGATGCGTCAAATTGCTGGCGGTAGCCAATCGGGTAAGTGCTTGTCATTTATGAAATTAAAACAATTACATAGCTAGTGACAATTTCGTAAAAAAAGTTCATTTCCTCGAATTAATATCGCTTAGTTAAGTTTGTGGTGGAATTATACCAGCAGCCGGATTCCAACATTTGCTATCGCTAATTTTGATCGTCAGAAATCTCCGAAAGAATAGCAGACGTCCTTAACAACACGCTACATCTAGTTGGATGTCGGCCACACTGCCAGATTTGGCTGATCACGCATTGCATGCGTTACTCTTCCATGTTACATACTTTTAGGCCCCACTCATTTTCATTTAGAGAGCTTTAGCGATGGAAATTTGGCAGAATTCCACTGCAGGTGTAGTAAGAGAAGAGAAGAACTATTTGACACTATCTTATATGAAAATTTGTTTGAAAAATTTCGATAGGATAGAAGAATGCCAAGAAAACTAAGGGCGCGTTCACACAGAAAGTCGAGCGGCGCCGAGCGAAGCAAGCCGGAACAAAGCGAAGCAGCACACTGAACGAAGTGAAGCGGAGCTTTTCCAATGAACTCTGCTGCAAAGATACCAAAATACTTACTGTCAATGAAAAGCGGAAAAAATATTCGCAAAATTTTATTCAAAAGATTGTAGAAGTTGTAGAATAGTTTGCTATTTTGTTTACAGCAGCATCAGGAAGAATTAAATAGAAAATTCCAAATCAAAAAGTGTTTTGCTTTCAGCTCTTTCATATAGCTACAGCAATTTGAAAGCTTCTCTTTGCTCGGAACGGCTTCGCTCGGTTCGGCTCCGCCTTCTGTGTGAACATACCCTAAGAAAATAAAGCGAAAAGCTGTTTTATTACTGCACCTGGTATAATTTCACCATGAGTTAGGTTAAGTTTTGTTTACGTTGGTTTATTCTTCTGACAGGGTAAAAAGATGATGTGTTTCGGAACGGATTTCCGTCGTACCTTGGAGAGAAGCGTTTTCGGCGTAGTGTCATCTTCAGTGTCATTTTCTAGATCGAATTGTTTGTCCTCATTCATGTTTGTGTGACATATTTACTCGTACATACAAAGGAAAAACTAGTTCCGTCTGTCTATCCTTTTGCGCGATCATGTGTGTGAAGGTGATTATTTACTTGCACCACTATCATCGGTCCTTTGTGATATCACTGCCAACGGTAACTGCTAAACTAAAGTGAAAAAAATTGTGTGAGAAGAATGATGTTTCGTAGGTGGTGGATGTCGATCCCGGTGTGCTCCTCAGGACTAATTAAAAACTGCAATTCAAGCAGTGTTCTATCACTATACCCAATAGAATTGATAATTGCGTCTTAGAAACAATATTTAGGTGGATTCACGTCACGTTATCAAGAAGATTTCTGACTGTTGGGATGAAGTTAGCCTTTTTACCATGGCAGACGTTGAGAGAGGACACTCTCATCGCTGTTGTGGTGTTTGGTGGTGGACTCCCTATTAACATAAATTGCAAGACTTCGTTCACTTCCAAGCTTTACGCGGATGATGTTTGTGCACTGTCATCAGAATATTATTTTAGATAAGATAAGATTTGATGGCGCCAGCATGTTGGTATCTTGTGTGGGCCCTTTTAAGGCATGGAAACGCTATCACATAAACAGACACGATAATTTCCTGGTCTTATTGTGCCATTGATTCTCTTCTCATTATATGTCACTATCTTTCAATTGTTTGCAGGGGAGCGCAAAGAAAAAATATATGATTGACACTTGGTGTATTGAGAATGGACTGCCCGATATAGTATTGCGCTGTCCACTAGAAGGAGAACGTTGGATGGCTGAATACCCATCACAGTTCAGACTTCTTATAAAATAAAGGGTCTATGAGTAATTCTGAATGCCAACTTTCGTGGAAATTTCACATCTGAGTATTAGTGCTTCAAAGCTTTGACGCCATTTTGGCAATGGCAAAACGTGGGGTTTGGATATACACTTAAATGATCAGACGCATTAGCAGTGGCATGGTCGAGTAGACTTTGAATCAATAGCCTCAGATATATGTTTGTCCTACTTCAAGAAATAGCCGTCTAGTGCTATACGGCAGCTTTTTCTACAACACCTGGCATGGCTCGGCCCTGGGTGCCAGGTCACTCAAGACTACCATATGAGATTTGGAACCATTAAGCTAGAGAGTACTCATCCGCAACCACTTCTTGACACTTCGACCTTCGACTATCGAAGCCACGTTCTGAAACTCGGTGAATATTGCGCTTAGTAATAACTGGAAAAGATTTAAGGGTTGTACGTTGGCAGAAAGTCTAGCTAAGTATTTGCATTCGTTGAGTTAATGAAACTGTAGCCAAATTGGAATAAATCGAATGACTTATGATGCCAAGTTTTCTGAAAACTTTTGTTCAAAATAGCAAATCTTCAAAGAGGGTTAACATATGCTAGAGAATAATTCTACTCAAAAATTTCATTGGATTGGATTGTTCTTGTATCGGCTAAATAAAAGTGAAAAAAAAATCATAAGTGCTGGAAGTCCACAGCTATTTAAGTGGGCATGTATAGAAATAAAAATAGAAGATGTTTTGCAACGAAAAAAAATATTTTCCAAATTTATACCTACATAAATAGTACGTTTGCAATTGTGCTAAAACAACGACTTAAAACAATCGTTTGCTCAACTAAAACTACTCGAAAAAGCTTTCAATGTCGATCATTCCTTTCACATGATATAACACATACATATGTATGTATGTAAAACAGCTCGTATTTCGTTCCAATCACATCAAACATGAGGTCCTTGACATAACCGCTATAACAACAAGAAATCAAAACAAAGTAAAAAGGTCAAAACTCTCAAATGAATGCCAATAGTCAGGCGACAGGTTCAATGTCGCATGCCTCAAATTTTGCAACAATGCAACACGCAAAATATGTATGTATCTTACGCATATCGGCTCGTACATATACTTTACATACGTACATATGTATGTATGTTAGGGCGGGTAAATTTTTTTTCGACATCGTTTCTAGCAGATTCGGATTCTACTTGAAATTCTAAGAAAAAAGTCCTTTAGACCATAGCTCTAAAATTAATTTCGAGCCTGTGCAATTTTAAAAGAAGATATCTTTAATTGAAATCAAAATACATATTATTAACATCAAGAGAATTTCCATCTATGAATTTTTAAATTATTTAACAGAATGTATATTACTCCACCAAACAATATACATATGTAAGTGAGCTAGACGATTAACAGGTGCTGTTGGACCTAAAAAACTTCCCAGGAAAAATGAAAAAGTGTGTGAAAAAAGTGAAGTGGTCGAATTTCGATACTTGTATTTACTAAAGCTTTACGAATGACATTTTTTTTAATACAAATTTGTATTTGGGGGTTTTTTGATACGAAGAATTAATTTTTGATATCCATTTCTTATTTGAAGAACCACAAGATGGCGCTACAAGGTAAATCTATACTAATATGTATATATTGTGAGAAATGCTCCACCGATTTTTTTTTAATTTGGACACCTACTGCAGATTTTCCAAGGATGGTTATAGGCTGAAAAATATTTAGGTATATAAAGAGGGCGTGGCACCGTCCATACAAGCCGAGTTTTTCAAGCTGCATATCTCTGGAAGTATTCGTGGTAGAGTACTGCAACTTGGTATGGGGATATATGAAATCAATACCATACTCATGGAGAAAAATGAGAGCTATTGGAAAAAAGGGCGTGGCACCTCCCATACAAACCGAAACTTTCATACTACATATCTCTGGAAAAGTTCTTGAAGCTGGTACGGTGGTATTTATATGAAATGAATCGCATACTCATGGGGAAAAATAGGGGTTACTTGTCATGTAAAATTTTCCGCTCAATCTGAATATGTATGTAGCCAAAATATAATAAACTGCAATAGCTTTTGAGATATAGCCAAATTTCGGTTTTTAGGGATGTGAAAAAGTGTACTCTTTTAAGTGTATATTTTCTTTTATATAGCTGGCCGATCTCAAATTTCTTTCTACAGTAGTGAAGCAAATTAAATTTACTAACTTCTGCATCAACGATATTTTCCAAACGGATTAGTAGTTTAGGTGCTAGTCATTGATTCATCGACAATTTGCATATGTAAAAAAAAATTATAATAATAAAAAAAGTAACATTCGGTAAAAATATCCACATGAAATAACCTGTTAACTTTTAGATTCTTGCACGTCAAAGCATGATTCTTCATTTACTATAATAAGGCCCTGCTCATCTTAATTGAATAATAAACGTAGAAGTTATGAGCACTTATGTAGAGATACATACAAAAAGTTTCTATACAAATTTATGATTTGCATATTATAAAGTACACACCTTTTACTACAATTTTAAATCGCTATATCTTAGAAATGGTAATTCTTAGGAAGAAAAATGTTATAACAGTTTTTATAGATAATTGTATGATCTACACTTCCGTCTCACCAATTTTTGTGGTAAACCTTACTGTTTTGCTGGAAAATTCAAAAAACCACTTTATGTGACCTTTGACCTTGCATAACTTTTTTTTTGCAGACGAGGGATCGATGGGGACCTTTGACATATCATTTATGAAAGTGTTCGCAACATTCGTACCAATTTTCAGCTTTACACGAATTATTGTAACCATGCCCTATTTTTTGAGCTAACTTGACTGGGCTATTGATTTGTAGCTCCATCTTGCGGCATTTTAAATAAGAAATAGATATAAAAAATTAATTCTTCATTTCAAAAAATCTCCAAATACAAATTTGTATTGAAAAAAAAAACATTCGTAACACTTTTGTAAATAAATATTAATCCGCATCCATTAAAGATATCTTCTTTTAAAATTGCGCAGGCTCGAAATCAACTTTAGAGCTATGGTCTGGGGGAATTTTTTTCTTAGAACTTTATAAGGAGTCCGAATCTGGTAGGAACTATGTTGAAAAAAATCTATCCATACAAATTGACCAGCCCTAATGTATTTATGTATTTTCTTTGAGTATTTGTTGCCAAACAATGTCAACCCGTTTGCCA